CTACATGCGGCTGTCTTCTTGTTTCATGGCAGATACTCCCTTCACCCTGGCCAAAAAGGCTAAAATGACCAAAGAAAAGTGGGAAACAGTTAAACATGAGAGGTTTTTGGACAAAGGTTGTGTTTTTTCCATTGTTTAAGCACTGCTTCCAGCCAAGAGTGATGCCATATATGCCCCATAGCTGCAGAAAAGGCTAACATTGTTATCTTTTTACAAAAACCAGCTGAACATGAGAGGTTTTTGGACCAATTTTGTGTTCTCCATTCTTTAAGCACCGGTTCGAGCACCGTTTAAGCACCGGCACCGTTTCAAAAGTACCGGTTTGGCACCGGTGTCGGATAAAACCCAAACGATACCCATCCCTATGCATGACATCACAGTCGCATGAAAAAAAGAAGGACCACATGCAATACTCTGAAACAATGAATACGCTGTTACTGCTTCCATTGTAATTAAGAAGGTAAGGAGCCATGTGCTGCTGATAAAAGCCTGTAAGCTGACCACCTAAAAGGAGAACTTCTGGCAATTTGCTGGTCTGGAAAATTCAGCTGTGTGGACCCAAAGGTCTGATTGTGCAAGAGCTATGTCGCAGACGCCGTTAACATTTAACAGGCCTTTTTTAGCATGTTGAATGTTAAATGTTCCCAACAGTGGAATATAACCCCATCTACAAACAGTGGGATGGTGTTCCCAAAAGTTGATTCTGTACATCTGGACGTTTTCAGTGGGAGAAACGTTTCGTCGCTCTTCCAGCTGACGTCTTCAGTCTCAGCTGACTGCAGGTGTTTAACCTTATAAACAGGACATCTGCACAATGACTGAAACTAACAGCACTGAGGGAACAATGGGCTGTGAGGTCAGTATATTGATCAGTTTCTTGATCATTAATATGCTGCCATTGAAAGCTCACTAGTGCATGTTGTCACAGTAATCCCAGTACCAGATGGTACCTGTCAGCTCCACCATCTACAAGCCGAGTGCAGCTGTGGCAGTAGCTGACACAAAAACTCAGGTATGGGAGGAGATCAGTTAGACCGTGGAGAAAGTGGATACTCTACCACATACAAACCTTCGTAATATTACTCGTAATAAAAACAATAAAAGCAATAAGATAATCGCATCACCTTTTTCATCAGCCTGTGGATCTTCTTCACTTTCCTCTTCTTCACTTGTTTCTTCACAGTATTTTGAGGAACTCCTGTTAGACCTCCACCCCTGTGACATGACGGAAAATAACAACCAAAGCTGCTTTTTAGCTTTCATTTCAAAAAACGGTGACTTTAATAACACAGCACCGCAAAACTGTGTGACTTACTGCTCTCCTCTGCTCGGAGGAGCACACAAAGGCTAAAGGCAGGCCCATGCTGGCCATCATCTGAGTTTCTTCATCCAGCTCCTCCACCTCAGTCTCCTCTTCCTCCTCTTCACCATCATCTACGTCTATGAGTTGAGAAATGTATTTTTTAAATCATGGCAACTAAAACTAGACAGTACAGCGAGGCTAAGAGAGCCACATTCTTCTACCCCAATGCCTGATACATTTCATAGGTGATTATTTTAATCCCTGGTACTATTAAATATCATGACAGGATGTACCTTGTACAGTGTTTTCCAGGTCAGGCAGAAGTCTGTTATCAGAACGATACAACTCTCGATCCCTGTAAAGAGGCGATGGACATAAAGGACAGATGTAGGAAATCCATAGATGCATCTGTATACATCAGCGTATCCGCTAAAACTCAAGGTGTTTGGGTACTGAGAACAACAACATCTAAACGCCTGTGAAAAAATAAAGTAATATACTTGCATTTCTACTCCTATTCAACACTCAAAGCATTTGAGTGACATGACACACGATAGTATTCATTAAATCGTTAAATCCAGGTGTTCCAATCACATCCAGGTGTATAAATCAGCACCTGGACATGCAGACTGATTCTACAAACATTTGTCAAAGAACGGGTTGCTCTCAGGAGCTCGGCGAATTCCAGCGTGGTACTGTGATAAGATGCCGCCTGTGCAGTCGTGAAATTTCCTCGCAACTAAAAATTTCACAGTCAACTGTTCGTGGTGTTACAGCAAAGAGGAAGTGAGTGGGAATGACACCATCTCAGCCACGAAGTACTCGAGCGTAGTGCACAGGTCACAGGTCACCAACCTTTTGCAATTGCTGCAGAACTCCAAACGTCACATGGCCTTCAGCTTAGCTGAAGAACAGTGATCAGACAGCTGCATGTTTTCATAGCTGAGCAGCTGAATCCAAACCTTACATGTCCAGGCGCCGCACAAAGCGTCCAATGCAGCGATGTAAAGCATGCTGCTATTACTAGACCTGGAACAAGCACTCTGTGGAAAAGCAAACATCTGCTGTCTTTCATAAGCTCCAGGTTTTGATAACCACCAATATTTTCCTCATAAATACCTTTTTTTAACTCAAACACCTCTCTGACAGCCTAATGGGAATGTTCAGAAAATGAATGAATGCGAGCAGAGACTGTGAGCCAGGTTCTCATCCAGCGTCCGTGTCTGACCTCACAGCTGTAAAAGCTTCCATAAACATACTCGTAGCCCGTGTGGGAAGCCTCCCCAGACGAGTTGAAGCTGTTATAGCTGCAAAGGCTGGGACAGTATCATGGGATGTCACTCAGGTTCATGTGTGTGTGAAGGCAGACGAGTGAATACGTTTGGCACTATAGTGTCTGATTCCACCGCTCTGTGTGCAAGACAGCAGCTCATACCACGCTGCCACTAGCACACAGCTGCTAACCTTTTCTTTTGGGGTTTAGCATTGTGCTAGCAACAGTAGTAGCCTTGTAATGACTGCGATTCATTCAACTGTGATTGATATGATAGCTTTTTAAAACGCTGCTTTGTGGTTGCCTTCACTCAAGTCAGTTATTCATTAAAACGACATTTATTACACGGAATTTCAAAGATTTGACTGGATTTCGTTTCTTGCGTCGTCTTTTAATGACCCACACTGGCTGGTTGCCATGTCAGCCCGGCTGAGACAAACACCGTGCTGCAGTTCGACGTGCTGCTAATGAATTACGTGTATGAGTTGTAGCGGACAGAGGAAAGGTGGTGGAGGCTCACTGTACGAAGGCTCTGGAGCAACGACAATGAATCGTTTCTTCCTCCTGCAGTGACTCCTTCTTGGTGAAGATGATTTCCGCCACCAGGGCTACTCTTCTCATTTCCAGCATCATGGCGGTTAGCTCGCTGCAACAACAAACACACTTTCATTTACCGACGAGCTGCTTGCGTCTTTAAGCAGCATGGGACTCTTTCCTTTATTATTGATTATTTCCGCACTATAAGCTAACAGCGGATTTCCCCTGTTTTTCAAAATAAAAGTTGCAATTTTTTGTTTTGTTTTATTTTTTATAGAAAAAAATTCTAACAAAATTTTCCCTTTAAAATCACTAAATCTCATGGTCATTAGAACACCAACTGTTTCATTTTAATTGCTTTATAGCTATATTAATGTATCTATTTTTACTGATTTTATTGCGCTTTTTAAATTTAATGGCATCTTTTGACATTTTCCACTTTTACTTTTGAGGGTTATATTCTCAAAACTATGACTGTATATAGTTACTGTTTGAAAGCTGGTGCAATTCAGTTTTGTTTTTATTTTGAAGCGAACGAGTCGACCCGGAAACTCTTCCTTCTTCGCGAGTAGAACTCTTTCATCGGCACAGTTTTAGGATAGAAATCTGCGACTCTGTGTTCGCCCGACGACGTTCCGGGTTGATGGACAGGATAGTTGATAGCTCTAAGAAGCATAGGTTTTGCTAGTGTAATATTGAATGTCGTGCTACATTTTAATGGCACGCTTTACCGAGTAAGCAGTCGGTAGGTACCGTTTTTATGTCTGTAACCGTGGAGTTGGCTCTTAGAATTAGAGGTTTCTTGAGAAATGTCAGATTTTCCAGCTCCTTCAATGAGACTTAGCTCACAGTCAGTTATTATACCGTAGCCCCAGCTCGCTGTTGTCATTTTGCTGATCAAATGTAGTCTCTTCCTATTCCAGTAACACTGTGGTGCTGTTCTAGATACTAATGCTATGTAAAGTTGCTGTCAGTTTAGTTGGTTTTAAAAAGCTGCTGGTGTTTACTAGACATTGGAGTCTGCGTAATCCACTGCGACTGTGTATTTGTAAATGTAGTCACAGAACTGAGTTAGCGGTGTCCTCCTTTACCTCCTCTTTATGTAGCAGCAGGTGTTCTCTATGCAGTCTGCCTGAGACCTGATCGGAGCGTCAGTCGGCTGAGCTGGAGTTCTCGTGGCTGAGAGCAGAGCACTATGTCAGGCAACCAGTCATGCCTGACGGGCGCGGAGGACACGCTCTCTGTCTTGGTATGCATCCTGTCCAAGGACTTGATAATGAAATCGAGCTCACCTAGAAAGAAATGTATTATTTATTTAACATCAGCTTTGGTGTTCATGCATGACTTTATTTGAAGACGCACATAATACAATAACACTTTCCATAACAGAGGGTTCCCACTGTTGCACCATCAGATCTTTCTGTTTGCATGTTCTCTCCGGGACCTTCCTCCCACAGTCCAAAGAGATTGGTGAGTCTAAATCGCCCATAGTGTTGGCCCTGCGACAGACTAGCGACCTGTCCAGGTGTACCCTGCCTCTTGCCCTTACACAGCTGGGATAGGCTCCAGCCGGCCTCAAGGAGAAGCGGAAAAAGATGCATGGATGGATTTTTCACAATATGTTGGCAACAAGTGGATAATAAGTCCCACAGTGTGCATGATGGGATGTCTCTCCAGCCCTCTTTGAGGCCCACTCCTCCACAGAGGAGGCGTTCAGATTGTGGGCCCCATGCCGTTCTAAATTTAAATGTAGATCATTTGTCCTGGACTGTAGTTGTTATTACGATCTGACCTGGTATTAGTAAGAGTGTTATACTATCACTGCGTCACATGTTAAGCATTGAAAGGAGCTTCTATGGTGTCCGTCGCTTAGAAACTCTAGATTCTCCCACAGTGGTATTTTATGTCCAACTGTGATGTTACATAACACAGTTAACCAATGCTGATACAAACAAGAATGTGTTACGTATTTTAAAGTTACCCATCCAGTAATTACTGAGATGTTTTCACCTGGACCAAAGTGAGGGATGTTAGTATTGACATTCTGGTCCTGGTCGACAGGTGTGTTTGTTTCATGCATGGGAGGAATGGGCAGGTCTTGATCAAGAGGACTATCTGAGTGTCTTGGAATACCTGTTGTGGGTCTTCACACCCCTAGCCATCGTCTTCATCGTGCCTTTCCTCATCGTTATCTTCCTTTACCTCTCTATACTCTTCCTTCATGTCTACAAGGTAAGTAAACAGTGCTTACACTCGCAGTCACACAAATAAAAGGACCTTCACTGTTTAGTTATCATCTGCAGCTCCCTCCATAATGTTTGGGACAAAAACACCATTTTAGTAGCTTCTGACATCTGCGCAGTGTTTGTAGGACTGTCTGATTGAAACTTTCAGATTTAAGCAAAGGAGTTCACAGCTATTTTTTTACATAGTTCCCTGGTTTTAGAGGTTCAACATCAATAGGACAGTTGACTGGCAAGTAGTTCCATGGACAGGTGAGGCCTGCTCACTTGTTATTTTATAAAAAATAAACCAGGCATCGATTGAAGTTGATTCAAAGTACCGAGTTTGTATTTTATAGTTTTATATATGAGGCCTAAGTAGGGATGGGAATTGATAAGAATTTAGCAAATCCAGTTTCATAATCAATTCTCATTGAGATCATCTCTAAGCAGTATGTCACAGACATTAAATCCATGCATGGTCAAATGTTTGTGCACCCTGGAGGTGTTTGTTGTGATCAGTGGTGGGGTCATTACTCCAGAAAAGTCATTATTGCACATATTACACACTTTGCTTAAAAGTAAGGATTTCTTTGAACTGTTCTTTTTCCAGGTTTGGAAAGATTGTACAGCATACATCTTTCATTACTTTAGAAAATAAAAATTGGATGCACAAATTAGAATCAACACTACTTTAGATAAATAATAAGGGGAAGACACGCAGCAAAGGGCCGCTGCTCTCGGGCCACACAGCATATGCTGGCCTGCTCACCCGCTGAGCTAAACCGACATCACATTTCTGACAGTCAGGCAGGTTGTTACACTTGTGATGTTGCTGTCTCTTCGTTTGTCTTTGTTGCAGAGAGACGTGTTAGACTGAAACTCTACTTACTGTTTTTTTCCCAATGATCTGTAAAACGCACATCGTCTTTGAATGACACTCAGACAGCCAAACAGGAGACCATGTGGCCAAACACGTCACTCCCAGTCCGACTGGGGACGGGGAATGTTGGGAAAGCAAGGCTTTGTGAAACATTCAAAGCATTTGTGCCAAAATTGTATCGAAGTTTTGAAACAATCTGAAACCTCTCTCCACAGTGACACCTGCTGGCCAACTTGGGTATCCCCACATGTCGATAGTGCTATGCAGTGAACTGATGCAGAGAAGCCCTGCACAGTTTCAAACCCACTTATTATACCAGCCTGTCAATAATTGTGATCAACACAAGTTTTGGAGAAATTGCCCCACAAACATCAAAAGAAAAATGCTGACACTCTTAAAGACAGCAAGCTGTGATGGTGAAGAGCAATGTGCTTCAGAAAAGTTCTTTAACACTCATGAAGCTGTTTCAGCTGCTCAGTAGAAATGAAGTTATAAAGTAAAGCATCCTGAGAAAAAAATACTGTGTTTATTGTAACAACCACACTGGTTTTCTCAAAGTTTGGAAGTGTTTTGTTCACTGTTAAGCTTTTAGGAGTTGATCTCGTAAGGTTTGTCCTATAAAAACAAAGCTGGCATGCCATTATTTTTTATATTTACTCAAAAAAAATTGTTTATTCGAAAAGACTGTTAACTAAAAACCTTTGTTACTTTTTATGGGCTAATTCGTAACAGTTCCTTTCATGCCTGTGGACTAATACACTTTTAAATCATCTTCTTCTGAGCAACATCTGAACCACAAAGACACTTTCCTTTATTACGTATAGGTACTGTGGATCCTGTGTCATGTGACAGAGGCATGATGCAGAGGCAGTGGTGACAAAATAGGGAAAAGAAAAGAACTTCATGAAAAACATTTGGTGAAATTTGTTAAGTAATAGGTGGCCTGTAATTAACGGATGGGTTTCTAGCTTTTTACAGTAAAAATACTGCTGGTCTGGTCTTAAAAAACCCAAAAACTATTTACATCAAATTGGCATCAAATTCTTCCCAACAGGAAGTCTTGACTGGGTTGTCAGTAACTACCCATCCAATCCACACATGCAAATAAATCCAACCATTGATGTCTATAAATTAAGTAATGTGTAATAATGAAAAATGGAAATTTATTTAATACGTTGTATAAAAGTTGATAATGACAGCTTCAGACCACGTCCTGTATGGAGAAACTATTAGCATTTTCCCACCATTTCCCAGGCTTGTCTGACTGTTGTTCAGCAAATTTTAAATGTACTTCAGCATGCTTTGTCTTTATCAGTGGGGTGTGGTGAGCATACATACAGGCCATGGTGGTAGAGTCCACTAATCATTGTTTTCTTTGAAACAATAGCACCTGCTGATCCAACTTCTCACCCCAACCAATCACAGCAGATGGCCCCGCCCCTCCCTGAGCCTGGTTCTGC